ATGCATGTAATAAAAAATATTTACAATATTTTTTATTTACAAAAATTCTTACAATATTATAAATACATAACATATACAATTATTTTAACATATAAATATTATTTTGATTTTGGTAACAATATATTATCAAGTGATGTTCAAAATTGTTTAATAAAAACTTATGGCTTCTATCTGAATACATATATTTGTATAAAGAAAAACTTCTTTCGACATCAACTGATGTAACTTTGGGCATTTACTTTAATAGATGGTTCTAAATTAAGTGGTTCGGAAAATGTCCCAGCTAGTACTTGAACCACTTTAGAAAGAAGCTGGTAACCACGATTTTTTCCATGGTTACTTTAAATTTTTGAAAAATTTCCTTTTCAATAGTACCTTTAACGTTTTGACACAATAACTCAAATTATTTTATTGAAACTGTACTCCCTAACAATGATAATTTGGAGAATTCTAATTGAGTTATAGGTTTCTGAATAAAACTATAATTTGATTTTATGAATGACAGTTTCTGTTGGAGGATGTTATTTTGGAAGAGTTGCTTAGCTTCCAATAAAAATTGGCAACTATCATCCTTTAAAAGGTTAATTATTTTTTTTAATCAACAAAATGATCAGCATAGATGTTAGCTGCTTTCAACCATGTTCCCCAACGTATTTGAATGGGTTGCGGTGGCAGTGGAACAGCAGCAAGCATATCTCTGTAACATTATATTCTTATAGGTGATTTCAGGAATACCCTTGTGACGCTCGCTATTAAATTTTTAACTAGTGGAAATTTTTTTCTTACTTCCTCCGGAACTCTGTTTATTCCATGAGCTAAACAAGCGACATGTATTAAGTTTGGATAAAATATTTTTAAATTTTGTCCTGCTTTCACCATATAAGGTGCAGCATCAGATAAAATAAGCAATAATTTATCATCAGGCAAAGCAGCAGGAAGAAAAAAGTTTGATAACGCTTCTTGTAGAAATCGTGATATTGTTAGAGTGTTGGTTTTTTCCACTTGCTTACAGGAAATTAAATACGATTTTGGAAAAGTTTCGTCGCTAAGTGCACCAATCAATAAGTGCACAATGTATCTTCCTGACTACTCAGTGGTCTCGTCCATACATATGTAAAAGTAATTATTACCTATTTCGGCTTTTATGTTGTGAATAACTGAGGAGTATAAAAAATTGACATTATTTCTCTTTATAGCTTGTTCACTGGGAATGTTGTGTTTGCAATATTTTAATAAAAAAAACTAAAGTTTTCATTAGATAACTTTGAAAGCGGTATATTAGAAGATACTAATGCACGATACAAAACTTCGATAAAAGTTTCTTGTTTGTTTTGTTTTTTGGAACTTAACTGAAAGCACTTGGACACTGAAGGTTGATATTTTTCACCGGATGTGGTTTTTACTTCTTGAGCTAAATGTTTCGCGGTTCTGACATGCTGATCTATTTGAAATTTTTTTTCAGATGAAATCTAAAAAAAATATATAAATATTATATAGTTGTACCCATTTTTAAAATCTAATATTGTAGAAATAAACTAAAAAATGAACCGTTTTTGTATAACAATTAAAATATTTAAATTAAATCAAATAAAAATCGGTGTAGTAATCTTGAAAATGTCAAGAAATGACTGTGCAAGAAGGAAGAACCCCCAAATATTTACAAGAGGCTTTGGTTTTTTTTGTATACATTTAAAGAAAAAATACTGTGGGCATAAATAAAAAGCACTTAATTAATTAAGTCCAATATATATGTTTTTGTTTTTAGCAAAATTAAAACAAACTTTGTTACGGTTAGAAAAAAAATGTTAGCGAGTTTTTAGTAATCTATTGAATGATATGAATTTTAAATAGATATCCTATTTTTTATCGCAAGGAGTTTAAAAAATGCTTGAGAAAAGAAAAAATACATCGATTTATTGCGAATTTGCCTTAAGTCGATACTTTTCTTAAACATAATCTCCAATTTTAAAATCTTTGTTTGTACCACCGTGTAAATTTTTTAAATAAAATAAAAAATAATACTTATGTACTTACGGTTTTGCCATAACATGGGCAATAAACTTTATCCATATCCATAGATAGCTCTTTGTAAGGTTTTATTTAAGTTGAAACATTGCTTATTTTTGGCATTTTCAAAGCACAATAATTATTCACAATTAGAAATACACGTTGTTTACGCCTCCAATTTTACAACAAAAGTGAAACCAAGTGAAATTGACCGTCAAAATAAAAATTTTACCTAGAGACATAAACCCTTAATTTCAGGACAAAACTATAAGCTGCTGTATTTTATTAGTTACTATACCAATAATTTGAATACCAAGTGATTATAAAACAAAATTAAATAATGGCAATTTCATGCTATGCTATAAAGAGAAATAATGTCAATTTGTTTTATCAATACTCCTCGGTTTGAATATAAAAATATAAAGTTAAAACCAAATTTTCAAATTATATGTACTTTATGCTCACTATGTAAAATTGGACGTTTTTGCATTTTTTATGCAATATGCAGTTTGCATATTTGTCTAAGTCTACTCATCAGCCATGGTTGTGACGAATTATAGTTGTAACATTTTTTTTTATTATTAATATATAAAATTATTTTTAATTCCCTTTACCCATGGTGATGATACGCTGATGGTCGTGTTTACGATCAGAAATTTTTATTAGGAAACTTTCGAAATATGACTGAAGAATCTACCTACCTATTTATTTAAAGACGCCGGTTTGGCTAATTCTTAATTAATCCTTTTCCGGGTTCTTTTTCATAAATTCGCTAACTATCGTCGAACGCACGGAGTAGTGTTTTTCGGGAAAACTAATCTAGAAGATACATATTTCATCACGTTTGTAGCTAGAAGGGTACCGTTATGTTCGATGTTAGTTAGAACTGTTTACCTTTTCAGAAATACATACAACTGTCCGATCATTTTTAAGTAAGAGATATCCCTTCTTCCTTTTTTTGTAGTTGAGTAAATTTTTTGCAAGAAAGACTTACTTCTCGGTGGGCCGTTCTTGAGGAAAGGCTGATATCTCGTGGGACCCTTCTCTTACATTATCGTATTTGTTATCTTACCATATGTGAATTGTTTTCTAAGTGTGTATACACTTGTTTATTTGAGTTTTTTATCTTACACTATATTAGATTAAATATAGTTATAAAGTACCTTTAATGTTAATTAAATTCAGTGTTTAATACAAGTATAGTATTAACTTGCATAATCATTATCTCCACTTATCTGGGCGAGTAATATGGTATCTTATCATATTATCTGCAATTATCTGGGCGAACCAAAGTTCATTCATATCTTCAAATGTAGTTGAGAGTAACTACTGAATTTTGCATTCGATTTAAAGAACAGTCAATATTTTGTTACGAACCAAATTTAATCAGCTACTAAGAAATTTCAATAAGTAATAATTATTGAACATTTAAGTCTCAGTTTATCATTAAATCATAGTGCGAGATAGCTAATCGACTTAACCAAGTGCGGTTTAGTTAAATTTTTATGTTTTCATTTCTCTAACCTTTTTGTATTTTTGTAAATTTAGATTTGATTAATTATTGTTATCTTTTGTGTTTGTTATAATTTTTATTCATTTTTTTTTTGCTGTAATATCTCGAGATACGCCAAAACTTTATTTGTACATGATTGTATTATATATCTTGTAAAGGTATTTTCTAATTAAATTACTGTTATTATTATATGTATAACCATCATTTTCATAGTTGTTGGTGTATTTTTATACTTGTGTATACATTCAGCTACCGATATCGTTTTGGTTGTTGAATATATCGTTATTGTTTTTAAGTATGTATTTTATTTGTCGGCTCCTAACAAGTTCCCTGATAAAATAATACCTCTGAATATTTGCTTTTTTACCTTTAAATATTATATTATACCTTTGACCAGTAGAAAAATCAGGCTTATTAAGTTTTGTAAGTAAGAAGGTGTAATAACTAATATATCTATTATTTGTTTACATAGTGTGTTGACCAAATTTATTTAATAATTAACTATTAATATCTTTTCTTGGGTTTGGTCTATGAACCTACATATCTTTCCTTACTTTTTTTTTTGTAAGGTTTCTTAATTTTCTCCTTAAACCCCAAAAAATTGAGTGGCGCCCTATTTCTATCTTATCGTATCTTTGGTAATTTTACCCATCTATCTTTTTGTTTATTTCTATATCTTTCCTCAATATATCTTATCTTGTCTTATCTTCACTTATTTCGTCCGTTGGACCTATTTCCGGTTCCAAAAGCTAGTTTCGAACCCACGACTCGCTCTCCACCAACCATCTGGCTGCCGTCCGCAGTGTCTCCATTGGTGACCTTTCTAGCACCATTCAAAAAAGGTTTCCGATGTTACATAGTACAAAAAATAACGTAGTCCCGTGACTCTGGCCGGCCGGGTATCTCACTTTTTATTCTTAGTCTTACACGCTATCTAAGGTGCTATCTAAGAGACTCATTAATATTCAGCTTAGTGTGGTGCTATTTTTGAAGGTGTTAAATTACATAACCAAGCAATCATTGCATAAAATAGATAGACCCCTTTTGTATGAAATTTCACACATCGGAACAATAGTAGCCTGCTCAGCTGAATATTCATAACCCTCTCAGATAGCTTGTCAGACTATACTTCGATAACTCAAACTTCTATCTTTTCTACAGTAGGTCCGGTGGATTTTTTAAATTATCAACAATTCAAGGCCAAAAATATAAAAAGTAGAGAATTTTTAACGAAATGTGCTCTGGTTGTTAAAAGATATCGTATCTTGTCAACTAGAAGCTTCCCTAGTAGATCAATGCAGCAAAGTATGAAGAATCACAATCCGAGCAATCTAGATACAATGTTCCCATATTCTTCCGAGAGTCAACAAATAGAAGAAGAAGATGTATATTTGTACTTCTGAGTTTAAGATTTTGAAACTGTATTTTTATGATGTATCATGATATAATTTTTTTTAATCAACTTAACTTTTTATTGTAGAAACTAAGACTGCAAAAACTAACTAAACTAAATGAACTGAACGATGGTACGGCGACCGTTACATATAACATATTTTTTCCATTTACCGACGTTATTCCTAAAATCACTGGACTCACATATAACGGTAAAGTTTTCTGTAGGGGTCCAGCTGAATCAGGTAAGTCTCTTAAAACTACATGATATTTTGTTCGGTTGCATTCTTCTCTCATTTATTGAAATATATCTTCTCTTTACGGGATTTTAGTTTACTATAATTTTTAAATAGATATTAACACATTCACGGGCACGGTAAATTAGTGAATAAGTACTTTGTGTGATAGCGACGTCTATAAACATTCGAGATATCGTGAATAATATGATAGCCTGATTTTACGACGTACCGAGACGTCTTAAAATAAACTCGTTTTCTGTATCCACAACGTTTTGGGACGTCGAATTAACGTAAAATTCTATTCAAGTATTTTTTTTAAATGGCATGGGCAAGTGCCAAACAGCCAGTCACAACATGAAAATATTCTACCCAGAAAGAAGATTGTGCAGTACAATATAAAAAGATAATATAAATTTAAACTTAAGTAGCATTACAAATTTTAAGCATTAAAATTATTATTAAGGATAGGATAGGGATAAAACATGGACACTCGTTTCTCGTCTAGGGACCCATCAAGACATTGCTTTTAAGACAAACTAGATTAGTATTGTTCTGAAGCTATTTTCTTGTGGCATTGTAAATTAATTACTATTAAACTGGGAATAAGCCACAATTAAAGATAAAAATACGTTTATTGACGTTTCAATTTCCACTTCGGAAATCGTTCTCAAAATACAAACAGTAAATTAAACAAATTTTGTTTTTTGTATACATAGTGAAAAATTTCTTCTAATAATTTAATTTTATCTGACTCATTTATATTGACAATTCAGACAAACATTATGCATTTTAAAGTAGATGACTTTAAAATGATATTGCCAATATTGTTGAGTTGCGCTCCTGGGACGACTTTACTTATAAGATAGTTCATTCGATTACATGAAATCAAATTTAACTTGAGAATATCCGTCAGAAAAAAATCATAGTATGTAATTCGTCTTTAAAAAGACAAACACATGACATGATGACAGTAAAATTCCCCTGTTAGTGATTCCATAGTAAATTATGAGGGAAAACCAGGAAAAAATCTCATAATACTATCCCGACATTGTAAGTATTTGTTCGTGAAAAATAGGTAAAGAAATAATAATAAGACTTACTCACAATCAATTTAATTTAACAATCTGACGACCGGTTTCGCTTTCTATAATTTGCAAAGCATCTTCAGGTCGAGATACAAAGTTAAACTAATGCTGCAATAAAATAAACCCAATTAGGGTGGTGTCTCATAAAGATAAAATAAACAAATAAATAAATTAGATTCATACAAATTATAGTAATTATGCCAATATTACATGTCTGTGGTTTTCAAAATGAATAATTTGAATATATAAAAGGTATGTACACAGACAAGGTAAGGCCCACAATTGGTATAAAGTAGCAATCTTTGTTGTAATAAGTTAATAAATGAGCAAATAAATAAAAAACAAAACAAAACAAACATTACTTACATGCCGGTACTCTATTAATTGATGGATGGTAGGTATGTAAAGTAATGTTTGTTTTGTTTAGTTTTTTATATTATATTGCTCATTTATTAATTTATTACAACAAAAGATTGCTACTTTATACCAATTGTGGGCCTTACCTTGTCTGTTACTACTTTTATATATTCAAATTATTCATTTTGAAAACCACAGACATGTAATATTGGCATAATTACTATAATTTGTATGAACTAATTTATTTATTTGTTTATTTTATCTTTATGAGACACCACCCTAATTGGGTTTATTTTATTGCAGCATTAGTTTAACTTTGTATCTCGACCTGAAGATGCTTTGCAAATTATAGAAAGCGAAACCGGTCGTCTGATTGATTAAATTAAATTGATTGTGAGTAAGTCTTATTATTATTTCTTTACCTATTTGATATGGACTCACACAAGCAACACTTCATGATTTGTTCGTGAATTTAGTTTACCTTCAACAAACATCAAAATTCTGATTTTATATGTTACGTGTTATTTAAAAACATAAATGATGTATCCTCTATATGTTACTGACTTACTAATACTGGTATTTTCTTATTAATAACTTCCTCTTTTAATATTGGTAACCAGATCCTACTACATTCTGCCGAGGAATTTGCGACACAATTGACCTCATTTAGCATAATTAGAGCCGCTTCTTTGATTTTTCTTTTTTTACCATCTGTTTCTTTTAGGACTACATTTGAATTATTCCATTGAACCCTATGTTCATTATCCCATGCGTGTTTACAGATTTGAGATCTATCAAATTCTTATTATTTAATATAAGATTGATGTTCACTTATTCTAACATGTAATGGCTTTGATGATTCACCTAAATAAAACTGATCGCATTCACAAGGTATTTTATAAATGCAATTATTTGTCCTTTCTTGTTCATTGTTAGGTTTTGGTTTTGGACAAAATAGATCTCAACGTGTTTTGTTGTTTGAATGTTGTTTTTTTTTGAATTCGTCTTTAAAAAGACAAACACATGACATGATGACAACAAAACAACAACATTCAAAACAACAAACACGTTGAGATCTATTTTGTCCAAAACCAAACCTAACAATGAACAAGAAAGGACAAATAATTGCATTTATAAAATACCTTGTGAATGCGATCAGTTTTATTTAGGTGAATCATCAAGGCCATTGTAATAATCTCCTACAATTTACGAGAAGTGGAGAGGGATTAAGGACTTCTATGTATAGGGTCCTGTAAAGACTGTCACCAAATGTAAAATACAATAGATCCTCAAGGGATGCTAACCCTGCGAGCGGCTGCAAGGAATACTGGTCACACTGGTCTGGAGGGCTGGCTCGTCTTCGTGGATTTACGAGAAGATAAGGGATTTCGGGATAGGGGTAAGAACTCTCGGTCTCAGGTCCTGTAAGAGTAGAGGTTATGGGCTTACTTTTGAAGCCGGAGATATGTATACGCAGAATTCTCGTGTTCTCCTAGTCTCTAGTGAGTCGGACGAAGGAACATTAAAAAAAAAACCATATTAGAGTCAACAATATATTGAATCTACCTGAAGTTCCTAATACAATCGTTAACACGTTATTCTGCGCGTCGGGAGACGATGTAGCAAGATAGTGAAAAGTTGACAGAGGTACAAATATAATTACACAGGTTAGTATAAGAAATCTGTTACCTTATGTGTATATTAGGGCTTCAACCACGACACGTTCAGTCTTCTGGAACTCGGTCAGTTGAGGGTTGCGAACTTTCGAGCTGCCACAATAACCGGACTACACGCGAATTCTGACAGAAGATACCCGGCCCCGGAAAATCACCGACTGCCTGGCTACCGTCGTTTTTTTCTGTTTTATTGTGGTCGTACTTTCAACGCCGGTTCTAGTACCAAGGTCGTAGGTTCGCTGAGTTGCAGTTTGGTATTATTGCTGCCTATTTGGGTTCACGGATGTTTTCGTGCTTTTTATACGTTTATAACAATTATCAAACAATGCAATAACTAGGTCAATTGTTATACTTTGTATAATTTAAATGTATAAGTTAACTGTATTAATTATCCCTTATTTAATTTGGAATATATGATAATTATCTCGAATAATTATTATCTTTTCTATGCTACTTATTGTATTCCATTATCCCTTTATTCCAACTTCTCACTCACTTGCTACGCTTACATTACATTACTCCCTACGCAAAAAAAGAAAAGGGCCGAGGGGCCTTTTCCTTTTCCAACAATAAATTTATCTAGTTACATATTATATTACTTATAATCTACTATATATATTTTTTATATAAGTCCCAATTTATATTTTATCATTTACTGTTTCTTATAGACTATTGTACCGTGGTCAGCGAATGTATCGTGCTGCCCCCGTATTGAACCTATGTGTATGACAAGTTGAGTTAATCTTGTATTAATCTTATTGAAACTTAACTAAGTGAAAGACTTTCCTAACTTATTACAATTGTTTGTGATTACATGTGTCCATTACGACAAGCGTATTCTAACTGTTCTATACGATTGTACTCGCGTTTTGCGTTCACTTTATCGCGTATCCCTGGTGGGAATTATCCGCACTTCACTCGCGACGTCTTGGCTGTTTTAATGTCCGTTTGCCAATTCCACGTGTCGAGTTAACTATATTGATGCGTTACTGCTGCTGTCTGCCTCCATTGGTTTGTCCTTGCTGGGTGGTCGTCTTAGGTTGATACTGCTTTGCTTTGTCGCATTATACTTCTGCTACATTGGTATCTGGTATGTGTTTGCTGCATCTCTTTGTTTGGCATCGTCGTAGTACTATGTCAAGTATAACTTTCTGTTTCTCTTTGGTAGGATTGTTCGGTGTAAAGGAATTTGCTATTGATGTAGGTCATTAGGTCTACGTTTTGAGGTAGGAGTGGCATACTAGGATTTATTTTGTGTTTACTAGGAAATTTATTAGGGTTCAGCGGTGTTCAGTTTGCCATACTTCTGTGTTACATATTATATGCCTTTTGTGTAACGTTAGAGCAAATATGTTTTTATCTTGTTCTACTATTACCAGTTCTTCTAGTGATTGTTTATTAGTGATCTTTTCAACGTGCCCTCTGTAAAGTTGTGACAATTGACTTTCACAACTGTTGTCTTTGTATTGTTTTTCCAAGTTATTTCGCCTATTGTAGAGTCGTATCGATCGTTAGCAGTGTATATTTCAGCATTCCTCTGCTCCTGTCTTCTTGATGTAGCTGTCTAGTCCTCCATCGACGTATGGACATATGGCTGTACATCCACAGTGAAACATGAGTCTCTCCATCGTGATGAGTCTCTCTAGTGTCACAAATCGCACTGTTATTACTTCCCGAACGGTCGCACTCCCGTAAGCAGACTTTAGTTCGCATTAGTACTTTTTACGCGTAAGTCCAAACGCACATTAACCTATAATTACATGTATAGCTGCTTATTGCAGACAATTTTAGTGATAGCTTTACATAAATCTGACTTATAAACTAACCTACAGTGTATTGCATATTATTGTGCCTAATGACTATAAACTGATAAATAAATTGATGTCTA